GAAAGCTGCTTCCAGAACGTCCATTATTATTTTCTGCCTTGCCAGGTCAATATCGATCAAATAAAAATGAGGCACGACTTTGAATTTTAATAGGCTTTTCAATCAGAACAAATAATAACGAATAAATATCAAATAACACGAAAAAACAAAGTAGCAAAAAAGGAAAATTTGTTATGTAAATGTAATGTAATTTCACTCCAGGGAAAACCAACGAATGAAACTAGATCGTTCGAAAAATAAACACGGCGCATACTCATGCACACTATGCATCTGTTCAGTAAGCGATACGCTTTAAGAAGTGGCATCTGTTCAAATATCTTCTACATCATTACCAAAAGCATTGGCATTCCTCTTAAACGCGTATCCCCTTTAAAGCAGCAAAGTATTACGTTGCCCATATCTTCATTACAGATAATTCTTGATACTCCAGGGGTTAAGATCACTATTGTTTAATACACCCTTGGAACATTTCATTGCAAAATGCAAATGTTCCTCGTGCGAAACCTTATGGAAAAGACGAGAAGACTAGTTTTATCCTTTAATGTACATCAAACGAATCTCGAGGTCGCAAAACGGTATGTTGTACCGAATTTAAAGTTCGCTATCGCTCCTTTGTTATCTTAAAAAGCAGCATATCAGTCTGTGATAGGTCATTTGAATTCTTCTGAAACCCGCTCTAGACCAATCAAGATGACTATAGATATATTTAAGATGCCTTATGTTCTACAAAAAAGGAACTAAATTATTATTTCCATCTTACGAAGTAACCAACAAGGAAATTGATTTCAATTTCCCTACCCTGAATTTTCTATTTCCACATACAAATTAATAACACCCTTGCTTTCTAAAACTATGTTGTCCACATGTTGATTTTGGTTCGATATTCAAAGGCTTGTTTTCAATATCACAATATCCAATTAAGTTGAGCACAAGGTTTCGAGATATACAAGTTGATGAAATTTAGGGGACGTTGCGCGGTCGTCGCAATGATTTCCTCCGGAAATATACGTTTTATTCGTGCTATTGTCATTTCAGACCGTGGTATTACTTGCATGGATTGACCAATATTTACATGGCGGATGTCGTCGATGAAGCAGAAGAGGCTTACTCTTTGGATCAGTTGGTACTTGTACTTTTTTCCCGTTAATTTATATTACGCCCACTTTTCATCGATTTTGAATTTGAAGTAAGATCCTGTTGACATGCCTGTATTTGTTGATGGTGTAATGTACAAGTGATTGGTGGCAGGAAGAGACAAACTTGGAATCCGTTATTTAAATTTAAATTCCATATCAACCGAAGAAATTGTGACGTCGGAAGAAACATTGCGTATTGCTACGTCTTCTAATATGACATTTCGATGTGTATTGAAATGATATATGAAGAAAGATACACAACTGAACATCTCATGATAAAGTAAGATACAATAGATGCTAAGGGTCTAGATTTTGAAACCTCGGAGTCGACTAAGGAATACGATCGAAAGAAATGTCAAGTTCTAGAAGGCAGCCTGGACCTTTTCGTTATAGAGTTGTTTAAAGATGTTAACACATTTGAACCATGTGACCTTTAAAAAGGGAAAATGTCAATCACATGAACAAAATTGGTTACCTTTCATTCCAGCATGCTATACGCCGATTATCAGACTCTGTGCCTTTTGGTTATTGAGAAGAGAGAAGATTCGTTCTCTTTGACCTTATAAATGGGTCAAAGTAATTCGTTTTATCAAACATGTTACTGGCCCAATATCAGCACCATGGGCCCTACCAGTGAACAAAAAATAATATTTTCCCTAATTATTGAGCTATTGCATCTCTCCATCTAGATTTAATCATTTCTTTTGATCACTTTGGATTTTCCTCCGTCCCCTCCAGGGATTCTCATCCAGGATTTAGAATTAAGGAAAAAAGACAACAAAAAGATAGAGTATATATATATATATATATATAGTCTTTCATTTAAACACAAAAATATATATATAGTTACATAGCAAAATAGCAAATGAAGCACTTTCTTGCTTCAACGTCACAACTTTGAAGTGAAATGACTTGAAATGGGGTTGTTTAGTACTCATTCAAAAAGAAAAAAAAACAAAAAACAAAAAAACAAAAAAAAAAAACACAATTTACAAAATCCACAAAGAAAAGATGCCTCAAGTGAAGCTTTCCCCACCATGTCTTATTGATTCCAAAGATCCAGAATTAGAAAGTAGTTTGCACATGGCGTAACATAACGAAATTCACGCTCGAGGACACCGCTATCAATGCAAAGTAAAACTCATTATATTGGGCTATACGAGTGAATGCGTTTACTGTAATAACACACAGAACCTTTATAGAACAAAGGGAATCCGTACAATGATAAACTACAGACAATATGTAGGAGTACGTGTAATTCGATACATAACACTACTTGTATAATGCCTCTGTTCCGGTGCTAGACGAGAGTCAATAAGCTGTTGTAGATGATATATTGAGTAGGTATTGAGAAAAAATCGGTGAGATGTCTTCGTTGTGTCTTCTGTTTATACAGTAAGCATGTCAGTACAACACAAGGAATGTAAAGTTTCCGTGTGCAATGTTTCAATTCATTCGAATAGTGGCACGGTTCAGAAAATGCACGTGTACTTGACGCTGTTCTAATATTATCTGATGTATGAAATATGAAACTAGTTTAAGTAAGGGGCTGCTATACATCCCGTCTAGATTTTGGCTTTTCTTTTGATCAATTTGGATGTTCCTTAGTCGCTTCCTTGGCTTCAAAATTTATCCCCTTAGCATCAATGAAGAGTCCCGTTTGGCTCTTCTATATCTTACTCTAAATTAAGAAAAGGTGTTATTCACTTGTGTTCACTTTCAACTGCATACTAAATTTTTTGATCAATTTCTAGTATTCTTGCAATTAAACAGTACATCTGGCAAAATAATACAAGTGTAACTAAATATAACAAAGAGTGTATGTTCGAGTTTATACTGAAGAGAAAGAACAGCGAAAAAAGATTAATATTGAATTTTTTTGACAGTGCTACATCAGCTGCCTCCAACAAGCACGCCCAAATCAACTAATAAATATTTACAGATTTCTTATGTCAGACACCTAAGAAGTTCATCTTTTCACCAAATAATTACTTCTGGATGACAAAATGATCTATGTATTTGTTAAAAGTTGTTGTGTGTGGGATCATGCATGTAAGATACAAATGTATACTTGTAAAATTTTGGATGCCCTCAATTTAAGTGGGTTAAAACACCTCCAGTTTTTGATAGTTGATTTCTTACTCACTGAATCCATTAAGACTGAGACTATATGTCAGCTTAATTTGTTTATCATTTCATGGACATGAGAAAAAAAACAAGGAAATGACAAGATGTTAACTGCAAATTCAAATCAAGCTAAAGCATGAACAAAAGAAAGCTTAACACGGATACTCTCTAACGTACAAGAAGAATAAGACAATGTGTTCCGGAAGAGTAAGCGTCTTTGCTTCTTCGTGTTGTAGTGTCGCCACTCACCATGTAAATCTTAGTCAATTCGGGTATAAAATGTCACGTTCTCAAATGAAAACAAGGTATACAACAACGGAATTAACAGGCAAACTATCGTGCATCAAACACATCTGGTTTCATATCGCAAAAAAAAAAAAAAAAAAAAAATCTCAATGAGATTAATACGATGACTATGAGACTTCCTCATAATTTTCATATAGAACTTCACTTAAAGTGTATAAACACGATGCTAAATCGATTGATATATCGTGGTCCTTTGAACAGCAGCTGCTTAGTTCCATAAATCTTATATATGTTGGAGTCCGAGTATTTGCTATAAGTGTATGGATGTACAGTTTTATTGTGGTAAGTATTGTTGGGTCGTCATATTTGGTTTACAATGCGAGTTAGCATGCATTTTTACATTGCAGTCACTAGAGTAACAAAATTATAAACCTAAGAGTACGATTGTATTAATGTTGGAAAGGCAGAGAAAAGGACATCTGTTTTTGTCTGAATTTCTCCCTTCCTGAAGCACATCGAAAGTAACAACATAGACTACATTAGAGCAAAAGACACTTACACTTCCTGAACGCCTGGTCGCATTATCTTTTCATTTTTACAATGGTCTCTGTTCATATTCTATCCTCGATCCACGTTTATCTGTGGTTCTGTTATCCTGCAGGTACAACTTGCACATGAGTTGTTGTTTTTACTCATTTGTAAACTCAGATCATTTTGCGCCATTTAAAATGCTACATAAGTAGTGACATTTCATTGCGACACCAATAATCACAGGTTCAATTCAATATAGTGATTATCACGTTGTGGATAAATTGCATACAAGACACAACATAATTATATTCCAAACTTAAATACCATAAAATTGGGGCAGACATGTACTAAAGATTTACACGGAGATTCCTGGAAAAGTACACAGAGTATTCCGGAAGAGTAAGCGCGTTTTCTGCTTCATCGACGACATCAGCAATGTAAACCTTGATCAATCTAAGTATGTAACGTCACTTTCTCAAATAAGAACAATGTATAAAACAAACGTGGTCGGGCAGGTGAACCCATATCTTTTCATGGCCGTTCCAGAAATCGAACCTCAGGTGAAAGGTGAGTAATGCATTACCACTGAGCCACCCATCAACCCAGCTTCATATTGTGAAAAATTGTGCAAATTGTGAAAATTAGAAACCTTAACTGGCCATTATGCAAGGAGAATAAGACCAGGTGTTCCGAGAGTGCAATTGTCTTTTGCCTCATTTAAGATACCCGCCGTGCAATTATCGTTTAATCCAAGTCCTCAATGTCTAAATTTCTGTTTTGGGACAAAGCAATTTAACGTTTCTAAACAACACACCGCTACAATTAATTATATGAAAGTTATTGTTTAATACATACAACATTGATATCATACATGACATTATTTACGACATATGACAAGCAACATTAGTAAATGCTAATAGCAAAAGTACCATAAACAAAAGAAATAAATAGCATACTTACATAGGACAACATTGGAAGATCCCAAGCTGCCGCAACTCTTGCCTCCACATTGCAGCTATCCTCTAAGCCAAAAAAAGCCACCGCACCATCCCTCCATAAGTGAGTGAGTAATTTGGTACCCACAAGGGTGCTAGCTTTAGTATCTTTCCACACTAAGTTTAGATGATAGTTTTTAAGAAGGAAAGAATCTCCGTTGATTTTCTCAATGGCATAAGAAATCGCCCCTGAGATAATTCTAGCCTGTTTGTGTCGCACATACCCATCCGATTGGTCAACGGTTAAGTACCCAACAGTCACATTGTGAACTTTCGCTTGGGTCACAAAAAGGCACGCGCACAAACACGTCAGAAACTTCATCATATTTTTTGAATATGTCACTTGTTATATGAAAATTAATTGCACACATATTCTAAGAGATTAGAAATATCTTTGTCACACAAATATAAATCCTTCGCTACTTGACAGTAAATAATAGTGTTGTTCCTTCGTCTGATGGTGCTTTATATTCGTCTGTAACATCCCGTTCAACTGAAACAAAAACAAATAAAAATGCCATAAGAAACATGTCAGAAACTAAACGAAATCATAAGTGATACCCATATTACGGAATAAATGATACCTGCTTACTAGCCCGTAACATTTTAGGTCTTCAGACAGCTGTTAAATCGATAACAACATTATCTATAAGAGGTACACATTCTGCAGCTTTAAACGCCATTAATGTTGCGATGTAACAAACCTTTCATATTATAATTAATATCTTTTACCGGAGGGAAAAAATCGTTTCTTCAGATCTGCACATTGACAAGTCTAGTCATCACCAGCTTGCCTAATTGTACCGGACTTATCATGGCCGAGGACACGGTGTCTGTGATAATAAATGTCATAGTCACTACAACCTTTCAGCGTTAGGTGGATCCGATAATCATTAGGTGTGTTGGTTCAGTTAGCAACAGAACCAATTACTATAAGGTACTGTTTGATAAGATTCTTATCATCCTCTCTAAGGAGCTCCTCGGATGTGACACCACCTGGGCATGCTGTTAATTGAACAAATGTAAAACTATAAAAGGTAGAAAGACTCCTGACATTGACGCCAAGGTACATGTCTTTGGATAACGGAGACTATCGTCAACGTATTGATCCCATCTGCTTTCCACTATCCGCCATAGAGATATTCAGATTTGACAGTTCTCTTGTGTTTATGGACGCGTGATTTACTTTCATGTCGAATAGCAATATAATCCTTTGTATCCCAGTATAACAAATTGTAAATTTTCAGATCATGTCAGAACGTAATGATAAAGTTTTCTATAAACATATATAAGCAAACCCATACTTTTCATATACAGATGCATATTTTCAAATTATGTCAGAACGTTATTCAATGCTATTTATTATCGGTTTTCTATCAATACATATAAATTGCAATTTCCTTAACCGTCTTCATTACACGAGATACAAATCTCCATGATTACGGGCTTAATAGTCTGTATAACAATTTCACTGGATATGTTGAATTTCTATGTGCCAATTTAAAAGACATCCAGCGAATGAGTCTTCCATGACAATTTGGCAAATTATCCCTGTTTTCTCTTACAGAACGTTACATTACTTCTATATGACATAACAGTAACAAGGGCATTGTCATCGATAAAACTTCATTTACTACTTCTGTCCTATGATCTGTTTTAATTTCTGTATACAGTTCGTTTCATCATATTTCGCGAATGTTTCCACACGTGACTGTTGTATTTTTGTCTTATTTTTGTCGTTCTCTTCTCTTGTATAACTAAATGACTAATACTGTGAATTCCAGGTCCCTTAAAACACTTTAAAAAATTGTCTTTCTTTAAACATTTCATTGTTAGTTCATCACGTTTAGAGTCATGATGAATAAAATTGTGCTGTGAATACCATATCTGCTTATTAACTATGTTTAAAAATGCACACACGCACATTTCAAAACAAACTTGCACATTCATCAAGCTTAATCTTAGCGTTAAGGTTGCACTGTCCCAAGGTATTATTCAAACACGCCAGACCATAGTACATATCGTCATAACATTTCATTGATTTCATTCTAAATTGCTTCAATTAATTATCTACGGAATTTTAAAGTGAATCTTTACACCAGGTAATACAGGGATTCAACATTTACTCTGGGCAATCGAACGATCAGCCCCTGTGTTGTAAACACGGATAATGGCGAAAGGATATAATGAACGATGTCGAGAGCAGAGGTAAAGAAATTTGCATTGGAATGCAATTTAAGCAATCGCACCCACCACATTTCTATTTTAGTTTTAGATAATGCAGTGATCATGAATCAGACAAGATGAATTGATACCTGTAAGTACTCCCATTCGATCGCAATGATCAATGGTCGTTCCCTAATCTAACACTAAATTGTGTAAAAGCAGCTCTGAATACGTGACTTTCCACTCTTGTCACAGGATGTTCTCACAAACTGATTAATCTTGTTTTATAATTGTGCAATAAATGTGTTGGAATACCATATTTTATGCCTAATCACAACAAGAAGGAAAAGTTTATAAGTCATAAAGAAAATGATCAAATTTGTCACTTCGAGTTTTTTTAATGCTTCGTTGATAAGTGATAAGGTCAACTGTTTTTTTTTTATCATAATTCGTTGAATGCTTATCTCTTGTGGAATATACATTGTAGGTATGAACAAAATAAATATATAAACGAATAAAAGTTTCCTAATCGTGATAGCCTTAAGTTTAATCTTAAGTTTAAATATGATTTTATTCTATTTTTTGTTCCGTATTGTTGTTTTGACGTAATGTTTTGGAAAAAACAACAAGAAAATACCGTCGCCTGAAGCATTTGCAATCAAAACTAAAAAAAATCGATCAAAAAACAACAACAACAACAACAACAACAAACAAACAAAGAAACAGAAAACCCGCAAAACATCAAAAAGAGATGTATATCTACTCTCTTAGATGCTTGAAAAAATGCATGTTCAACGGTTTTGTTTTAGGGAAGAGTAACAGTTTTTTTCCAACATATAAATCTTTATAATAAATGAACAAAATTAATGCGAAATTGTAAACATGGGGACAATAATGAAACCGCCACCGTGTAATTAGAGAGCAACGAAATACATCACACAAAGAAATGGAATTCAAAATGACAACAATTTTTTTCTCCATAATGTGCAAAAGTTTGAAACTCTCGACATCCTGTGCTCTAGGAAAGAAAAAAGGAAAAGCGAAAAAAATAAATAAAAAAAAAGTAAATAAATAACCACGAATCGAATACGTGTAATTTCATATCACGCAATGGATATAAATTCTTTGACCAAAATGTTTGTAAATCATCCACAAAGCTTTCTTTCACATGCATCTCTCGGAACACTGTTGTAGTGAACACTTCCAAATATGCAGATCACGTATCTAGAAACCGTGGCAGTTTGACCAAGTGCTTTGGTGTCGAACATAATGCCACAGAGGGCTTCAAAAGCAGAGTGTTTCTATCAAGAAATGGGAAAATGGTTCTACGATCGACATATTAAAGACGCAATATCATGACAGCATAAAATCACGAAAGATGGAAAAGAGGAACACTGCGCTTTTTTCTGGGTATTTGCGAAATATTTCGCAAATGTCTCCCATTTGGAAAAAGCGGTTGAATATAGAATATCAAAATATTGACTTGAATAAACATATTATTGTAATCAGGAGTTTCATATCCTGGAAGTAAATCAATTTTCCATAAGTTATCGTTATTGTTTCTGTTCATATTTAAAGGTCAGTCTAAATAACACTTTTAAACAATGAAATATATGTTCGATCAATGAAATGCTACGGTATAGGCTGACTCTATAACAAACAGACGTTACTGAAAGCTCGTTCTATTATTGTTAATGTATAATCACATTCAAGATGGTTTAAAACTATAGCTGAAACTTGATTAAGGCTGTCATGCAAGAATGAAGTATTGAGTCGTTTTTAAATACTCTGAAGATATATATCTTTTTCTCGTGACAAACTATTGAATGAATGTTATATATAAACAAAACTATAGTCCATGAAAGCTTAGGATAGCCTGTAATTGAAAGTCTTCATATCTATACAAAGAAATTTAGTATACACGTCTCCACATAATAATTCAGTTTATATGACCTGAAATTATTCAAACAACGCCCAAAACATCACCAGAAAGATACAAAATATTGAAAAAAAATTGACAAATTTGGAGAAATTCTCATAAAATATGATTAACTGTCATTAACGCAATTATTCTCATTACTATTCTACGAATGAATCATTGAAATAAAACGTTAATAGTTTAATCAATTTTGTCGCGAATGATGCGTATGCAAAGTTAGGGACAATCAATTCTACTGAATGCAATAAGATACAAATTATTTTAATTGCAATAATGCTAATTTGAATTTATTTTGACGTCAGAATGAGCTGTAAATAGGACATAGTACCATGTTAATCTCAAAAATGAAGCATACGTTAAGTCACTTAAGTATCACTTCCAGATCTCATGGAAATGAATATTTCTAATCAAGATACACTTAAATAATAAACGACTATATATAAAAATGAGTCCAGTAATTGATTTTTTACGATAATACACTACACTCTAAGGCAATTTGCTATGCTAAAACAGTGTCAGCTTTCCGCGAGAATTTCCACCAGTTTAGCTAAATAGCCTTCTCGCTGACGGTTACAATTAAGCTGTAAAATGGCATTGATATGAGATAGTATCTGTCGGTACATAGTTCATCTGTAGGTCATCGGTTAGAGACGTTGACAATTTAGTCTGTACGTGACTTAAACGTAGAGTAACTGTGGGTCAGTTTGTATAATTCATGAAGAAGGGACAAGCTATATGTGGCTATGTGGCTGTAGTTTTGAAGATGTTGACAGTGAATAGATCGTGTGATGCTTGAACGATTTTTTCTCTGATTGATTTCAGTCAAGAAAGCAAAAAACTTAATATTTAGCGTCAGGGAAACATTTTCTTATTTACTCATCAATCTATCGATTGGTTTATTGATTTATCGATTGATTGATCGATTGATTGATTGATTTTTTTGCGATATTTGTCTATTGAACACGTTCATTTTGTTTAAATGACCATTATCTGTATATATCCTTCTCACTTTTGTACTTAAGCCTGTATTCATAATAGATGATCCCCAAGTAGTTTGAAAATTATATATATAGATCTGTTATCATTGGCAGTATACCTACCAAAAACGCAGACCAAGATTTGTAGTCAAAATTTCACATATAACTATCACAAATTTGTCATCACAATAATACCAAACATTTCATACCTATGCAACAGAATTTAGATAAGAGATTGCT